TTATAACTTCAAATGTAAAAGTACCTTGATAACATGCTTGTGATAATAACCAACTGTAAGATGCTAATACAGCCTGTACTGTGAGTGCTTCAGATGTATTGTTAAATTTTTCTGGTCTCTTTTGCAAATACGTGCAGTTGTGATACGATAAAAATCCGAATTCATTTTCATCGCCAGGCCAAAATCCAGGTATATTAGTCAAATGTTTTTTCTCAAGGATATGAGCTAATACTCTGGGGTTGAATTTGAATGTAGGTACATCCAAAGCTGCATTTTCACAATCACTTAAAGGTATAATTTCTCTCAAAGGATGCTTATATCTTAAATGCATAACAGGCTGACCAAAATACTGAACAGGCAAATCTACTGGATCATTAACAAATTTTTTCAGAAAATTAACAGACCGTCTGAATCTTCTTATAAATGAAGGGGGATCTATACCGCCTGCAAACCAAGATGCTTCCAATCTTGGTTCAAAATCAACTTCAGTACATAATAAATGTGGCTTTCTAGAAGCAAGATATACTAACATTGTTTTATTAATTCTCTGAATTAACGCTTTAGATATAACATCTTCCAACTTTATTTTTCTTTCAGAAGCTTTAATATGCTCTTCTAATGGAAATCTATTCTCTTCTGGAATCTCAAGTTCTCTTCTGAAATATAAAATTTTTATAAAAAAAATTTTTTAATTTTATAATTTTGATATTAATGATTTGATTCAGATTGAAATGTTTGTTATTTTAAATTAATGTACAATTAATTTTTAACATACACACTTAGCATTTTATCTCTTGACTTCAATTTATTTCATTATTAATCTTTGTGAACCTTGGTTATTACCTATCCTTTCTATTTTTATTTTAATACTTTGATTTACCAAAATATAAATACCTACCTTTTAATGCAATATTCAAAAATTATATCATTTTCTATGTCACTTTTGATTACTTGTACTAGATTATCTAATTGCTCGGTAGAAATTATATTGTCGTAGTATGTTGGGAGACCAGATTCCTTAACAACATGTGTTCTTGTAATATATTGTACATGTGATAAAGAATTATATGGTACAACATGTTCATTTAGGATTAGTGACTTCCAACCATAGTAACGTGGCATGTTGATCTCGAACAGCTTTTCCTCCACAGTTTCTAAATTCTTGATTTTGTCATGCCAAGCTTGTCTGGTCTTCTTCCACTTACTTTTCCAGTTACTTAAATCTTCAATGGGCGGATATATTATCTCCATGTCTTTGGCTTCATTCTTGACTTCATTGACAGCAGAGACATTGTACCTTTTTTGTTTGCCATGTTTAACTACTGTATTAAGCAGTAACCTTTGTCGAATATGTACAAACATACTTCTAAGCAAAAGCAACAATATTTTATCAAAGTTTCTCTAAATTTGAGTTTTTTAACATTTAAAAACATGCAATCCACTTAAAGATTACATCTAATTCTAATTTAAATCCTGAATTAATTGATGACTTCAAACATCATTAATTAATTAATTAAAAAATATCGATATCAAAAAATGTAATCAAATATAATCAATTAATGTTGATTCGTGTTAATTCTTATTATGCATCAATTATCATATAGGTTATGTTTCGGAACTTTATGCTAAAAGTACATCAGCTTCGCGACAAATTATCGTTCGAGAACAGTTTGATGTAAGAGGATGTAAAAAGCAATCAATTATAATTGCCTTCGATTCACAACAATTTCACAAAAAATTACTTTACAATTTCAGTCTTGAGCACACCACAGGACCGAAAAATTAAGGTTATGAAACGAGATAAAAAATCTTTTTGAGAGAGACCTCTGTACGTTCACGTATAATTTATTACGTAACTTTAAACTCGGTCACAATCAGATGAACACAATCAGATGATCTTTTTAGATTCATTGATTTTTAATTTTTGTCTATTATGTTAATTATAAACTGTAAAAAATATAGTGAATATATTTTATTAATATTACGTATGTAATACAAAAATTTATTAATTTTGTACAAATTGAAAAGCAAATATATTTTCTGCAAGACATTTATGTAACATAACATCATGCATAATTTTGTATACAATTTTGTATACAAGAAAATTAATAAAATACATTTTTTTCTTATTTTTTATATAATCCATTGCTAAATATATAAACTCTAAATTATATATACATAATAAATCTATATTGCATTTGCTGAAAAACATTTTATTCGAATTCAATATAATCTAAATTTTTTATCAATATTTCTGATACAAAAGAAAATACTTTTCTATATTTATATTCTAGTAATCCTAAAAAGTTGTCGATAAATTCTGTAACAGTTTGACATAAAATTCTCTTTTATTCAAATATTATTATTATATCATATTATATAATTATTTTTTAATATTACACACTTTTAAATAATTAAGTAATTATTGCAAAATAATTACTTAATAATATTATATTGTTTATAAAAATCTGTCCATTAATTTTTCATAAATATTTCTGCAATTTTTTTTTCCCAGATTCTTCTGATCACGCATGCGTTTTCATTCTGTTGCATTCTATTCACTTCTATTCTGTTTCTACTCCAACGTCATGTAAATCCTTTCACACCATCGAGGAAGTTTCTATCATATGATACGCATTAGTTAAAAATAAAATAATTAGAAAGGAAAAGCTTGTAAAACATACATATCTGATAATGACGGAAAAAATACGGAGATATGAGAAAATCGATTTTCTGGGTGAAGGACAGGTTAGAATATTTGTTATTTGATAATTTAAATATGTTTTATATTGTGTCATGTAATATTTATTTATTTACGCAATGCTTTTATGCATTATATATATCTATCTATGATAATACGTTATTGCATAATATACAATATTATATATTCAATATACAGGATCTATTTACAGCTTTGTTTATAATGTAGAATTCTATTATTTATTAATTAAGTAAATAAATAATTATTAATTCTCAAAATGTTAAAAATATTAATGTGAATATATTATAATTTTATATTTCAGTTTGCTACGGTTTATAAAGCAAAAGATATTGAAACAAATACAATTGTAGCTGTAAAGAAGGTTAGTTTTCTCCCTACTATATATACATAAATATATATGCAACTTAGTGTTAATTTGAAAATATAATTAATAATATTCATAGTTTTAAATATACAATGTATCATTACATTTTTTATAAATATAGATTAAAGTTGGAAGTCGTGCAGAAGCTAGAGATGGCATAAACAGAACTGCATTGCGAGAAATTAAACTGCTACAAGAATTAAAGCATGACAACATTATTGGCCTATTAGGTATGTGTCTAACTCTGATATACAAAAATTTAATTGTGGTGACTTGTTGAAACAATCTGTAAAATACAACCTATGTAAAATTGAATAATTATCATACATATTATAATTTCAGATGTTTTTGGCTATAAGTCAAATGTATCACTAGTATTTAGACTTTATGGACACTGATCTAGAGGTGATAATAAAGGATAGCAATATAGTTTTAACTGCGGCCAATATAAAGTCATACATGATTCAAACTCTTCAAGGCTTAGATTATCTTCATTTCAATTGGATACTACACAGAGACTTAAAACCGAATAATTTACTGGTAAACTCAGAAGGCGTTCTGAAGATAGGAGATTTTGGTTTAGCGAAATTTTTTGGGTCACCTAATCGAATAAACACACATCAAGTAGTCACAAGATGGTACAGAGCACCTGAATTACTTTATGGTGCTAGACTTTATGGAACTGGGATTGATATGTGGGCAGTGGGTTGTATATTAGCCGAGCTTCTTTTGCGAGTGCCATTTTTGCCTGGTGAATCTGATTTGGATCAACTTACTAGGATATTTCAAGTATTAATATATTAATCGAAACATAAAATATATCCTTGAAAAGTTATTTTATATCTTTAATTTTGAGATCTTTTCTTTGTCATTTAGACATTAGGTACTCCAACGGAAGAAACATGGCCAGGAATGATTGAATTACCAGACTTTATTCAATTCAAGCCCTTTCCTGGCACACCTTTGAAGCATATATTCACCGCTGCTGGTGACGATTTACTGGATTTAATTGCTAGTCTCTTGAATGTGAACCCACTGGAAAGGTGTACATGCGATCAAGCGCTGCAGATGCCATATTTCAGTAATAAACCTGCACCCACAGCTGGACCGAAATTACCTCTACCTACAACCATTAAACGACAACGTGAAGAAAGACCTAGTCTGAAAAGAAAACTATTAGAATCAATAGAAGGTGCCTCTTTAGCGAAAAAATTGCAATTTTAATTTTTATTAATATTAGAATAAAATGATTGAAGTCATTCATTAAATATAACAGTAACAATTTTGGAAAATTGGAAAAGTAAAGATTTTTATTATAATATCGTCAGAGTATTGTATCCCATTGTAACAAATGTACATTGTATAAAAATGTTATCTAAATTATTCTTATACATATAGGCCTATATTCTGAATCCTCTTTTATCGATAAAAGTATGACTCTATAGTTCACGGCTAGAAGGCTTATTAAGCTGTTTTTAGAGATATTTTTATCGATAAAAGAGACTTTAGAGTATGGACCACGGTACATATAAGAAATACATGTGATTATAGTATACAGATTTTAGTATTTAGTAATTTAAATATTTTTTTAATTAAATAATATCTCATTAATGTTTTTTTTATAATCATGATGTTTTTGATAATTAAATAATTAATTTAGTGCAAATAAGTGAAGGGAGCAGGAAAAAGTACAAGAATGGGTAACAATAATACGCGTTTCGAAAAAGACAATGTTATGTTGCGATATCTTTATTAACTTAAAAATTAGTAAAAAACGAGATATTCAATTTTGTGAACTACGAAATATTCAATTCTAAATATTACGAAAGAAATGACTAGCTAATCACAAAATAAAACATTAATTTTGTTGATCAAATTTTTTTTATACAAGGTTGATTTTCACGGTAAGTACAGACAATAATACGATATTCACATAGCACATTTCATTTCGACATAATCTGTAATTGTATTAAATCGATTTACTAAGTTTCTTGGAAGAAGAAAAAAACAAGATAAATTACAAAAACTTCGTAATTTATCTCATAATTTGCATTTCGCAAGTAATCGACGAGTTTTGATCGATTGAAAAAATATCTCATTATATTCATGGATTATGATTTCAAATGCATATTTTGTAAATAATGCTCATGATTGTACTGCATTGAATTCTCAATGCGTATTTATCTCTGATATATGTACATACAAATTAATCATATGCTATACTGCAAATCAGTATTGTTGCACAATAAAGATACAATTTAGAACAAGATTATTCCTAATTTATTTATGTACATATCAAAATTAATTAGCCGCATTCGAATTTAACGAACGGAAGAAATCTATCTCCTGTCACTCCGCTCCCAAATGTATAAAACGCAAAAATGATGTCTCTTAAATTTATCGACGAAGGCCTGTAAAGAATGAACGAAATTATATAATTATCTTATATTACGTATCTTACATACGAGCATAATAGAACAGGCATTTTAATATTGAAATAACTTATGCATATACGTATCTTGCATATCTATGCATACCTTGATGTTTAAACTGTTAAATTGGATACGAAACAAATTTTTTATAAAATAAATAATAATACACAATTATTTTGATGTAAAAACATTATTTTGATTAGAGATTAGGGCCGTCATTAATTTATAAGTACAAATATACATCAATTTGATTAAATTATTTCAATCTGTGACAAAGCACATTTTATTTACACGTCTCTCTTTTGCACTGTAACTATATTACAATTATTACAAGTATATATCTTCATTTTAGACCAATATCACAAATATCTTTAAACATAATAAATTAGAAGTAATTTATTTCAAAAAATAATCTCGAAAATATACATAAAGTATGCTGTAAATAATAAATTTACATTAACGTATTGTGTTGTGGTCCCTTTCGTTTGAACTGAAATATACGAAATATCTTTATTCTTTAATATTTTCTCTATATGATCAACACAACAATTGCTCCTAAATGTACACATATGTGTTTGTAATAATAATAAATATTGTGAAACTATTAGGAAAGTGAAAAGAAGCAATAAAAACGAAAATATGATTGAATAAATTACTTAAATTAAAAATAAAATATCTGACACATCTTTATCTATATATGCTACTACTCATCATGATTAGTTTTCATTTTGTTGTTTATGCATACTATAATATATGTATGTATTTATGTATATACATAAACATATATATACACATATATATATATATATATATATATATATATATATATATTAATTTTTGTCGATTGTATTAAACTTTATTAACACACACATTGTACAAGGAACATCTTAAATTTTAATATTTATTTACGTAAAATGCACCTCTGCATGGCTCTATCATAAAATATATTAATATTAATATGCAATTCAATTGATAGATAATTTAAGAAGATATTGAAAATTCTTGTATTTCTATGCAAAAATTAAAAATATATTAGTAAAATACTGGATATAGTATGAGAGGGAAACGATATTATTTTGGATATACAATTAAAATAAATAAAAATATTTCAAAATTTTATTTTAAAAACGGAAGAATTTTATTTTATTATTAAAAGATGAGTTCATTTTGCATATATGCGCGCGCGTGAGTATGTGAGAATGAATAAGAGTGAGAAAGAATATTCAAATAAATTATATTTTTTAATATAATCAATTATACTCAAAATGACCATTTAACAATTATGCATAATGCTGTATTATATTCAATTCTTCACATTATTGTCATATGCTAGCATTTCATAAAAAATACATGTGATGAAAACGTTCGGAATAAGTGTTAAGAAAATGAATAATAAATT